GGCTGAAACTTCTGTCCTTTCTCTGGTACCACCAGAGACAAAGGCTGAAACTTCTGTCCCTCCTCTGGTACCACCAGAGAGTCCAGAAGTTCCAATGTCAGAACCTCAAGCCGAAGAAGAAGTGACAACAGAACCTCAGCACACTGCGGCAGCAGCAGAACACAAGACAGCAGCAGCAGAAGCTGAAGCAGTTGAAGTAGAAACAAAAGAAGACCAAGATCCAAGTGGCCGAGGAAGATCAAGAAGCCCTCCACCTCATGACTCTCGGCACAAAGACTTTGAAAACCTGTATGAGTCCTACAACAAGGCACGTCAACTTGATGGCCTCCCGCCTGTTTCTCGAGATGATCATCAGCTGAAAAGTCAATATGACATGCTGTATGGTGAGGAAGTTGATTGGCTGGACGAAAATTTCCTGGCCACTTCATTCAGTGAGAAGAACCTCACCAAAGAGCAGAAAGAAGAGTTCGCCGAAGCTCGCGACAAGGCTTTGGATGTCTGGTTTGAGAATCAAGCATGGCGACCAGTCGATGCCTCCGAAGCCCAACCAGGCGAAGCAGTACCAGCAAGATTTTTGCAGCGCTGGAAGCCAACAAAAGAAGGGCAGAAAGCAAACGCCCGAATCATCATACAGGGATTCAAACATCGTGATGTACTCGAAGACACTGTAGATAAGGAAGCTCCTACTTTGTCCATGGTTGGTCGCAGCTCCATTTATCTTTTTGCAGTGGTTCGTCAGCTCAAGCTGTGGAGTGCTGATGTGAAGACTGCTTTTCAACAAGCAGACAACATCGAACAAGAAGCCCGAGTGTTCATACAGCCCTCAGCTGAGATTCGACGCCTCCTGGAGAGAAAGATTGGATTGAAACCATGTCAAATCATGCGTGCATCCAAGCCCGCTTTTGGTGATTGCAGAGCTCCAAGACAGTGGAATGCAACTGCTCATAGGTGCTTGACTGAGGAACTTGGCATGATCCCACACCCTTTGGATCGTTGTGTGTACCTCAGCATTCGAGCTGCATATGAATCTGATCCAGCTTTCGAAGTGTTCCAATGGAATGGGGTCCCTAGCATTGTTGACGGCATTTTTGGACTCCATGTGGACGACTTCATTGGTGCTGGTGAAGGTTTCTGCAGTGAGCATGATTTGAAAAAGGAATGTCCCAATGAAGAGTGTTTCCTCAACCGCATCCTGCGTTTGGCTCAGCGTTTTCGTTTTGGTGCATGGGATTTTGGAAATGGCTCAAAGATCATCTTTTGTGGTGCTGAACTGCAACAGTCGTTAGACTACTCCACCATTTCGGTGAGTCTGGCGAACTATGTACAAAAGGTGAAACCGATCTCATTGGACAAATCCAGGAAAACAATGACAGAGTCACCATGCGATGAACGTGAACACCGACAGTTCCGTGCCCTCATTGGTGCGCTAGCATGGCCTGCTCATCAAAGCATTCCAGAGTTGTGTGCAAGCGTGAGCATTTTGCAAGCATCAGCAAGCAATCCATGTGTTGGTGATTTGAACCAAGCAAACAAGCTGCTTCGTTTTGCAAAAGAAGTTTCAAAAGATCACCAACTGTACATGCGTGGTTCATGTGCTTTTTCTGAGTTGTGCATTGGAGCCTATACCGATGCTGCCTGGGCCGTGAGACCCGACGGATCGAGCCAAGGTGGACTTTTGGTTTTCATTTGTTCGCACCAAGAGCTGGAATCCGGCAGCATGATGCCGCTCAATGTCTTTTATTGGAAATCGCACAAGTTGGCACGTATTTGTCGGTCAAGCTTGTCCTCAGAGGCTCAAGCAGCCGCCATTGCAGTGGACGAGCTTGAATGGTGCAAGATTTTTGTTTCCGTCATGATCGACCCCACCTTGCCGATCGAAAGTCCGGAAGCATTGCAAAAGCTTGGACCATCCCCGCTTGTGACAGATGCAAAATCTTTGTTTGATGCTGCAAAGTCCTTGTCTCCCAGTATGAAATTGAGTGAGAAAAGAACTGCGATCGAAGTGGCCATTGTGCGAGATCGCACGAATGCTTTGTTGGGAAAATGGATGTGGGTGAACTCACACCAACAGATCTCTGACGGCTTGACAAAGCCGGCTTCCAGAGATTCCATGGCCTACATCATGAAGCGTGGCACCCATCAACTCAAGTTCAACCCCGACTTTACAGCCTCCAAGAAAGTGTCCTCGGAAGCCAAGAAAGAAGAAAGGGAAATCCATGAAGCTTTTTCAAAAGAAATGGAAGAACAACAAGTTTTTGCAGTAGAAGAGTGGCAAAAGCATGAACAAGGTCTTTGTTTACTTCCAAGTTGCTGCAAACCCCGCAACGAGAGTGATCCTCGAAACAAATACTGCAGCAGAAGGCATTTTTATGCCCATCGCAGCTCAAATAGTCATCAAGACGAATGGAAGAAGGCAGCCTTGTTTTCCGCAGCCATTTTGATGGCAAGCAAAGCGCCTCTTGCTGAAGGAGCTTTGACATCTGTTGAAGCTGAAGGATGGAGATTACCAATCTTCATGTCCTTCATGGTCATCATGATCTTCGCATGGATCGGCCTTGAAAACGTGTTTCTGCGTTTTGGCATTGAAACCATCTTTTACAAGGCCTACCGCTTTGCAAATGACAAGGTGACGAACCTGTTCAGAGAGGAGATGAATGAAAATGAGCAGGTTGTTGAGAATGACCAAGCTTCTGCGAATGCCCCAGTGACTGAGAAACCGCTCAGTCCTCCTAGCCATGTCGTTTCCGCAGCTGTTCAGGCCGATGAGGTGATTCTAAATGCACTGACTTTGACCCGTCGTCCTGGAATAGATTCAGGAAGCACGACTACAAACACAGAGTCGGATCTTCCAGACGAAGAATGGCATCGCTGGAGTCGCATGAAGGTGAGAGTTCAAAATGAGGCTGGACAAGGCCCATACCGTCGACTTCTCTGGGAACTTGAAAACCATGATAGCAGTATGGACTCCCAAACCAGGTGCGTGTTGCAATCTGAGAGCTTCACTACGCAGCGCTGGAGGAAGTTCAGTGAATTGCTTCGAGCTCAGGACACCTCGCAATTTTCTGATGAGCAAGTATGTCAGTGGCACCGAATGTGGAATGACAACCTGGTGTTTTTGGCTGACGTGAATCGTCGCATCGTTCGTCAGAGAAATCAGATCATTGCCTTGGAACGCAATGACCGTGTTCGTGAGCAAATCTACAATGGTGAACTGGCTGACCGAATCTGCCAGACTCCTGTGACTTTTGTTGCTGGATCTCGACCAAGACGCCTAGCTGAAAGTGAACATGGTGCTTGGTACCATGTGAGCAGCCTTGAGGAGCTGCGTTGAAGATGACTCTAGCCCGCTTTTTGAATTTTCTTCGACAGCCCTTGAAAACTTCCTTGGGCGTGTCAATGTTGCGAATGCACATGTGAGATTTGTTTTCCATTTTGCAATGCATTTCATGATGAGAGCGGATAGATGACATTCGAGTCACACCGCAATCGAATTTCAATTCTCAAATCCGGCCGAAGGGCCCTTGAGTCACGTTCGGCGACGACCTTCGCCATCCGTTGGCATTGTGAGAAAGGACGCATCGCGGCCTTCGAGTTCTTTATCTTTGTTGCTTGGAACTTCGTGAGTTCAAGTACTTCGAGACAGTCATATAATATTACACTTCGATCATATATAATACAACGTTGCTGCTGGTGCTCCTAGTATGAGCCAATGACACAGCAAAATGATACCGCATCGATCTAAATCACATCTGGTTTCCATTTGGCCGGGTCAGTTTGTTTTTTTTTTGGATTTTTAGAGAAAATGATAGATTGTCTATGATTTTGGGGTGTATCGGGACCACGGAAAAGAATAGTCTTTCCACGGAAAAGTTTAGCGTTTCCACGGAAAAGTTTATTGTTTCCACGCTTTGACCACGCTCGGACCACGCCCCGACCACGCTTCCCCCACGATCGAAACGGTTCTTCAAAGTGATTTGCAATCACACCGTGCATCATGCATGTATATAATATGGTGAATTCATGCAGATGACCAAACACCGACACTCCGACACTCCGACACCCCGACACTCCGACACCCCGACACTCCGACACCCCGACACTCCGAAACCCCGACACTCGAACCATTCGATGCTTTGAAACTCGAACTCTCCTAATTAGTAGCAATAGTGGGACCACCAGCTGCGATCCACAGGCAGGGTCCGTGCAGGCAGAGTCGGAACACAATTTCGATCTATATATAGGCTTCCAACAACCATTGTTTTAATAGGCCTTACTTACCGAATCAACTAAGGATTTTACACTACAAAAACCAGGTCAACCATTGTTTTAATGGTCTTGGAAGTCTAGGATACCATACGTATACAGGATTCCAGCATCGAACCATCACTGCCAATGGAAAATACATTGATCCAGCTTCATTAATTGGTGAAAAGGAATGCAGCCGCTGCTTGATTAGGCGTTACTGCCTCACGTGCAGCAATTATGATGTTCATGCCGTGTGCACTGATCGAGTCGTTTTGATAGTAATTAAATGAATGCATGCATGCATACTGCAAGACATATGTGTGACTCCGGCACTGAGCTGATCGGCTGGACTGTTTAGCCCAACCCATACCAGCATGAAGGTTTGAATCGCCCTTCATGGATTTCAGCCACTAGAAAGTCCCTCAAAGGCGCCAGGTTGGCAATGTCATGGAATGCAGATTCCTGATCTTTGGCCACCTGTGCATGCGCGGCATGCGTGAATACAACAAATGATAAGAGCACACGTGAGCGTGCATGCAGTTTGCAAATGCCGGACCTAGCCATGCAAGGATTGTCTGGCCTGCACAACAGTCCTTTGGGTGGCCTCTCGAATCTTGGTTGCCAGAACATCGGGGCAGCAAGCCTGATCGTGTGGAGGGTCTGAATGGTTGAGATAGTATAGATTAATATATAGAGTACCAAGGGCCACACAACTGAAGCTGCAAAGGTGTCTCATGTTTGGTACTACTTCTAATTTACATGTGTCGGATGATATTGGCTGAGTCAATGGCAATGTGGTCAGCATGTAGCGACTCCACTCGCCGGCCATAGTTCTTGGGGTAAGCGCTTGACTTGGTCATGTCTCGACCACCTTGCCTCAGCCGATGCGCTGAGATGAAAGCAGGCCTAATGGGTGCAGAGTAGTACGACATGCATAGATTGATCTAGAACATCTGATCAGGTGAGCTGGTACTAGTCGATCGATCTAGATCGATTGAGTTACAAATCTCTGAGCCCTGAACACCCGAGACTGCCCCGAACGATCTTGGTACCGTCGAACCATCTGAAATTTTTTGTACTGTTTGCTCGACTTCAGCTTGCGTAGCTTCCGAGCACTCAACTTCTTGTACACGCGCCCCAGCCAAGGCCTGAGCGTGCGAGGAAACGATGCTGCTATGAGCTTGCAAAGGACGACCCTGAGACAAGGACGCTGTACCGAACACCACTGATGGTTTCATTGTCGGGCTTCCATAGGTCGCCATCCAACTTGGCAGAACTCGAGATTTGTTATTTATATACGTACTACTGGCATCATTCGTGAAGAAGGCAATGAGGATCGGACAAATTCTGTTGGCACCACTCGATGCCAAATAGTTTCCGCAGCTTCAGTGACAGCTTGATAAATGCTGGGAACTTTGTCATGAGACTAGTACGAGGTTGCTCAATGCAAACATGGCAGAAGCGAGCCACCGCTAGCATCACCAAGAGGCAGAGTCGAGCCGTGATCCTCAACCGACAAGACATGAGTGATCTGAAGTTGCATAATTGTCCGAATATCGAAACAATAACACGTTTCACAACTAAAACAAAATAAGAATTTCTTATAGCGTGAAGCAAGGTTCCTGTTGCCTTCAATGGCTGATGGTGACGTTGTTGAACCTAGAACATTGTACTTGCTTCTTTTTGTTGACCCCCTTGAAACCCAGACCCATGAACTGCACGGAGGCCCACAGTGCAGAAGCCCGTTCTGCTTCAATTGCAGAATGTAGGATATAGCCCGGATGAAGCCAGGCCTCAGGGAATCAAACTCTACTATACCGTCAATTTATGCGCACGCGTGCATGATGTAACTAAGTTCTCTACGTGCTTAGAATGTCATTGCTGTTCGGATGTAGCTCTCGGTCATAGAAAGCCCTCAGACCAAAAAGTGTGGAGGAGCTGCATCAGTTGCACTTCACTGGTCATGCGCAGTCTGCAGCTGAGCAGTCGGCGCCCGCTTGTTCTTGCAACCTGGTAGCAAGAGAGGGCACTGGAAACAAGATCTAGCTGGTCATGTTTGTCTACCCAATCTCATCAAGATATCACCATGTTTTATAACCATTTTATATAATAATTATAACATTATTCTATGTACCACCATGCCTAATGCTGGCAAGACTTGGGCCGTGACGGAAAGCTTCGAAGATGGCCCGCTTCCCACAGAAGAGGTCCACGACGCTGTACACCTTATTTTGTGCGGAATGGTGTTGATGTCTACCCACTGATGATTATAATGCTTTGTAGGAACTATTGCAATATTACGATATGATGATATCATAGTTCGTAGTACTAGCTAGTAGCTAAGGTTATGACCCTCTCCTGACTTTCGCGTCGATGGGTGTTCTGGGCCACCCAATCAGCCAAGTGGATCCTGAGGCGTCCGTTGGCTAAGCGATCGGTGTTATAGTTATATAACAGGTTTTTGGTGCTTGCAAGGGTCATTATGGGTGCATGTTCACAGGCTGAATTTCCAACAAGTCTCATCAGTATAGGGCACCCCATGGCTATGAGAGCAACCACAGCAGTAGCACTCAACGAAATCGGTGAACTGTCAAAATCACCATCCCGTTGAACGTGAAGTGCATACTTCACTGATGCCATGGCTTGAGTTCACACCTGCCAAAACACCACTTGGACCTGTTGAACCAGTCTTGACATCTCGGTCTATGAAGTGGTGGGGATGGCATACGTGGCATGACTGATGCAAGAGCAAATTAGGGTACTATACTACACTGACACAAAATTACGGGCTGAAATCATTTTTTTGCAGGCCCTGCGCCAGAGGTCTGAGGTCCAGCGCCAGAGGTCGATTTGCAGCACATTCTTGCAGCAGGTTGCCCAATGACACTCAAAAAGGAAACAACTCAATCAAGTTATGTTGTTTATTTATAAGTGATTCGATCATGTTGTTTACTTTTTAATTTGCTACAGCAAAAAGTGTCAAGACTATGCACCCTGCATATGCAACGCAGTCGGAAAAATAGTTCTTCAAATATGGAATCGGAAGATCCCAAGGAAGCTGCATTTCTACATCCCTGCAATTGGGCGCCACGCAGCCACTTGTAGAGCAATTGACCACCTGGGCGGATTTGGGGCACTGGCTTACAAAACATGCATGTGCGTGCAAGCATCAGTGACTAATAAGTAGAAATTGAAAGTCGATGGATCTCAAATCACGAAACTAGAGATCGATAGTGCAGCTAGTTCAACTGTAAGTTTTGCACGCTTTTGCCGGACCACCGTTCTTCTTCCATGCCAGAGAGACCCCACCAGAATTGGAGACCTGCTGCGGCCAGTGCCATGAGGGTGTCCAACAAAGTATATAAATAGCTTGTGTTAGACTCATAAGAAGAAGGGCCGGCCGTCAGCTTCAACTTCTCTTCAACCTCTTGCTTGTGCACTTTATCCTCAATGGTGCTGACATAGAAGGTCCCATAGCGGTCGGGCCTGCAGAGGCTCAAGAATGCACACCTGATCGATCCGATACTAGCTGGAAGTGACTAAGACCATGACAAAACACCGATGGAAAGCATCGCGAAATCCTTGTGGCCAGGGCAACCGTTCGGCGGTCGCAATGTCCAGCTCCTCAGCCACTCGCTCATCCAAGGATTGCCGATGATTTGCTGTGAGGTCACGGTTAAGATCCCAGCCTCCGCTCTTTTGCATTGGCCGGCCAGACAAAGAACTCCATTTGAGGCGCCTCGGCCTCCAACGCAGCAAGGTTCTCCTCGATGCAGCGTGATCATGTGGTACTGTTATATGCATGGATCGATATACGATATGCAGGATCGGAATTTTTTATATCATCAACTGGTTTTATAAAACAAATTAATGGAAATTAATGGCGACAAGAAGTTCAGGCGTGGCACTAGCGTATAGTATAGTAGCCGAGAACTGCATCATATCAGTCCTCAAGTTGCTTTTTCTTCTGTGCACTTTTTGATATCTTTGGTGACGTCACAGCGCGGGTTCTCCTCTGTTTTGGCGTTTTGGGAGGTTCCTCCCGCCGCTTAGGTTCCTTGGGTTCCTCGTGCTTGGGTTTCTCTGACTGCTTAGGCTCCTTGGGTTCCTCGGGCTGCTTGGGTGCCTTGGGTGCCTTGGGCTCCTTGGGTTCCTCGGGCTGCTTGGGTGCCTTGGGCTCCTTGGGTTCTTCGGTTTTGGGATCCTTGGGGTTGGGTTCTTCGGTCTTAGAATTTGCTTTTCTTTTCGGAAGCCGTTTTGCTGGAGCCGAAGGTGCTTCTGCACTTGGAAGCGCCTCACCACCAACCTCACCTGCGCCCTCCTCATTTGCCTTCTTACGACCTCGCCCTCTTCCTCTGCCCCTGCCTCTTCCCCTTTTTGCAGGCTCCTCTTCATCCTCATGCTCATGTTTATATTTACGCTCAGGGTCCTCTTCTTCATCATCATCAGACTTTGCTTCGGCGTCCCTCAAAGTCTTTCGCAAAGCCTTTTGGGCCTAGTCGGACGTAGCCGGTAGATCGATCGCTTTATAGATTTAAAAATTTCAAAAGTCGCACGCATGTTCGTGACTGTGGGGTGAGGTGTGCATCAGAACCTGTGTGCACATGATATGATCATGATAATGCGTGCGTGCATATGCGCCTTCAGCAAATCGAGGTTGTTGGAGCTCATACCTCTTTCCAGCCTCCTGCACGCTTCCTCTGCCTGACCCCTGAGTGAGTCGTCAAGCGGCGGTGGAATTGGAGCCAAGGGTTTGGTGTCCTGACGTAGCACTTGATGCATAAGTAGTCTATGTGCGCATATCGTGACATATATATATATATATGCATGCATGCGTGTGCAGTTCTGCTCAATTGAAACTGCATCATGGCTGATTGCAGCGGTCCTTGAAGGTGCCCCTGACCTCTCCCTTTGCATCGTGCTCTGCATCGCTTTCGATAACGACAGCAGGTGTCCCGGCGGCGGCAGGGCCGAGCTGTTCGGGCACACCATCCGAGGGAGAAACCATGGAAATGTCAAAATGGGTTTCTACGGGCTCGATACACTCGTCATCGGACATGTCCTCCTCCTCAGGAGTCTCCTCCTGTCCCCACTGCTTTCGATGCAGACGTTCCGACCTGATCGCCTGCCACTTCAACAGGGGCCTCCTCAGGTGGAACTTGTGAATCAGTCGGAATCTCCGGGACGGGTTTCTCCTGAAAAACATGATGGCATTGCAGTGACTCAGACTTAAAAAGTGCTTAATTATAAAAAGTAAAGTACTTGCCAGTGCACTAGTGGTGCTGCACATGTGCAAGTGTAAATTGTCTGGCCTTCGACTGGGGGGCAGTGGAACGTCCTTTGGTCGGAATCTTCCGGCCTTTCTCCGAGAGAAGGCCAAGCTCCTAGCCAGTATTATATTTTACAAATCAATTGCAAAAAGAACGGTGTCTCCAGAGAACGATCAAGCAAGTTGGTGATGACGCATTGTAGCTAGACTCAGTCCTGCAGCCTTACCCGAACCAGGGATTTGAGCGTCTCCATGCGAGGGTGTGACTTCCTCCAAACAATGAATTGTGTGCTTACTAGTGGCCTGTGTTGGTTGTTAATTCTTTCAATTGCAGTCATTCTTGAAAATGTTTTTAAAAACTCAAGCTTGCAAGGTTCCCACCTCGATTTCTGCGTTCGATTGAATCGATTGGTCACGTAGCTGGCCAAGGCACGGTGCATTCCAGCTTCGATTTTTGCCCAGGCCTGGAATCGGATCAGAGGAAGCAGGGTCAGTCATGAACAACAACCAAACAGAGAATCCGTGTTGTTTGCATTGCTGACAGGTTTTTGAGTACCATGCTTGCCTGATGGGCGCCATTGGTTTCAAACCTGTTCCACTTCTTCTCGATGGACAGCTCATAGAGAACATCCTAGCCAGGGTCGAATAGGTCGTTAAAGAATTTGAGAAATGCATGCATGCACAGATCAAACTGAGTTCATGTACTAGTCGGTCGGATGACTGCCAAGATTAAAGAATTATACTAACTATTCAACAGTGATCTTGAGGCCTGCCTCTACTTCTTTTTGCGTTGGGAGGTCTCCAACGAAGTGAGCCAAATACGCCGATGTGAAATTGAAGTTGACTTTGCGTTCCGCCTCGCACACGTAACACACAACATGTTATCAAGTTTATGATAGTTATGCGTGTCTTAAAAAACAACAAACTTAACAGGGCAAATTACCAGCACCACTGCAGACTGCATCGCAACCAACCTGCACTGGCCTCCACTTCAGAGATATGTTTGGCTTCCACCTCAACGATGCTGAAAACCTGCTGTGCACAGGATCTATATGCATGACCAGGGCTGCTGTTGCAACGGAGGTGCAACGACGACTGCTTTGCACTTTGGCTGAAACAACATGTCAGGAGGGCTGGATTCCTGTTGGTCATTCTCCTGCTTCTGATCTCTTGCTTGCGTTTCTTCACGAAAGCATCAGAGACATAGTCGGTGTAAAAGGCCTGATCGGTCAAAATCTACAAACATAGGTCCAGACATGTCGAGACTAATTTTTGGTTGAATTGCACGCATTGGCTGCATTGCCACAAACAGGCACTGGATTGATGATCCAGCCTTCAGAAGCTTCGTGCGATCTGAGGCCATGATGGTCCCAACAAAGCGCGGCGGCGCGCTAAAAAAGAGCTGCAAGTGGGACAGGGGCAGGCAAATGCGTTCTTTCGATTGCTTGCCAGGTGAAGAGTTGTAAATAAAGTGTTGTAAATTTACAACGAATATATTTCAGGCCACACCTGGGTCGTCGCTCGATGAAGATGAACTCAGTGGTGATAGTTCATCTTGATATTCACCCCACTCATGACCTGGTGCCATTGAGCGCAGGCCGACATGAACCTTTTTGATCCTTTTTGTGATTTTTTGTGCATGACTGAGTAGCCAACGTAGAAGTAATGCCCGCTTCATTCATCATCCATGGCTCACTCGAAAGTTGCGCCCCAAAATATGCAGATAGTGGGCGAATGTTGTAAACTCTTAAAAATACATCGAAGCCATTGATAATGCAGTGTGGCTGAATCAATCCTTCCTACCACCAGATCATGTCGTCATGTTCTGCAAGTGTCAGTGCGTCTGCCTCGATCCAACCTGAAAGCAGTGGTTTGAGTGACGGACTCTATCAAAGTTTAGTCCTTTGGAAAGACTATTCTTTATATAGTCGAGGACTCTCTGGGTTAACCTTGTCAAGATTTTCGAGAATCAGTATTGCGGCAATTGTTGGCCCTTTGTCGGGGGGGTTTCCCCCTCCGCCTGGGCATCGTTGTCGCTTCCTCGGTCGTGGGGTTTTTGTTAACCCAGGCGGGGGCCCTTCCCACGACCTCCACGACAACGATGGGGCTTCTGGGGTTTGGCCCTCCCCTGGTTGTGTACTTCTGCAGCAGTGCGGCTACGAGCGCGTTGAGAAGTATAAATGCCAGGAGTACAAAGCAAGGCTCGCTTGGGGATGACGATTTTTTCTTATGTTCCGGCACAGAATGCGCCATGTTTTTATGCTGCAACATTCCATGCCTCACAAGAACAAGCCTTGCGGTTGGGTGTGCGGTGTTTGACTCGAATTCGTCCATTGGGTTTGGCTGACAACACGCGCACACCACATCGAGG